ACTGCGACTGCCCTGCTGAGAGGCCTTTCTGCTGTAAAACTGGCTGGAAAGTTACCCTGGTCGGAAGCCGTTTTACCCACACCGCCGAATCCAGATATGCTCCCATTGAAGGCGAGGCCCTTGCAGTGGTAGACGCACTCGACAAAGCCCGCTTCTTTGTACTGGGCTGTGACAACCTTATCATAGCTGTTGACCACAAACCCCTCCTTAAAGTCTTTGGTGATCGATGTCTTGAAGACATTTCCAACATCCGCCTTCGCAATCTCAAAGAAAAGACGCTTCGATACCGCTTCCGCATGGTCCATATCCCAGGCATCAAACACAAAGCCGCCGACGCACTCTCACGCCATCCATCTGGCACCACCAACCCCGAAGCCATGCCCATCCCCGATGACGTGGCCGACATCAATGCCAATTCCCCCCCACCCATGTTGAGCAACCCCGTCCTAGCTGGCATCCGCACCCTTGAACCCGACACATACTCAATCACTGCCACCATTGAAAAGCAACTGCTGTCATCTGCCATCAAATCAACCCACTTCATGGCCGTAACATGGGACCGCGTCAAAACAGCAACAGCGAGCGACACAACAATGGAGAAGCTCCTTTCAACCATTACAGCAGGCTTCCCCGAGTTTCGCCACGAACTCCCCCCTGATTTACAGGAATTTTTCCAATTTCGTGAACACCTCTATGCCATCGATGGGGTTATCCTATACAAAGCTCGCATTGTCATACCCTCATCCCTAAGAAGTCACATCCTATCCATCCTCCATTCGGCTCACCAAGGCATCACCTCAATGACCTCTCGCGCGGAGGCAACCGTATTCTGGCCTGGCATAACACCGGCAATTTGAGCCATAAGAGAATCCTGTCAACACTGCAACCGAATGGCCCCATCTCATCCAAACCCCCCTCCCACACCCATCACTCCACCAAGCTACCCATTTCAACTCTTATGCGCTGATTACTTCCATTACCAAGGAGTCAATTACCTCGTGGTCATAGATCGGTACTCCAACTGGCCCATAATAGAGCGTTGCAAAGACGGTGCAACTGGATTAATCCACTGCTTACGACGTATCTTTGTCACATTTGGAATTCCAGATGAGCTAGCAACCGACGGCGGACCTGAATTTACTGCCACATCAACACAAGATTTCCTCACATCCTGGGGAGTCCATCATCGCCTGTCATCCGTCGCCTGCCCTCACTCAAACTGCCGCGCCGAGGTTGGTGTCAAAACAGTTAAGCGCTTAATAACCAACAACACTGGCCCTAACGGTACCCTTGACACCGACACCTTACAAATTGCTATCCTCCAGTACCGAAATACACCCGATTCCACCACAAAACTGTCACCAGCAGAATGCATCTTCGGAAGACCGATCAAAGATTTCATCCCTATTGCCCCTGGGCGTTACCAACCCCACCCTACCTGGAAAGATACCCTTATGACCCGCGAACAAGCACTTCGCAACCGTCATATGCGAACCACTGAATGGCTGTCCGAGCACACACGCCGACTCCCACCACTGAAAGTTGGGGACCAAGTCCGAATACAGAACCAAATTGGCCCCCACCCAAAAAAATGGGATAAAACAGGCTTAGTGATTGAAGTCCGTCAATTCGACCAGTATGCAATCCGTGTGGACGGGTCGGGCCGTGTGACACTCCGCAATCGTAAATTCCTACGCAAATTCATTCCAGTTCAACAGCGACAACCCCGACATACTATCACTGAGGATTTACGGTATCTACCAACCCCACAGACCAAAGCTCCTCAACCAACATTGCACACCCCACCAACAGAGCCACCAAACATCCCTAGCCCTACACCTCCCACACCCCAGTCCACATCAATGCCATCTACACCAAACCACATCACACTGGAGCAAACCCCTAGAAAACCTGAAAACCCTAGCACACCCAAGAAGCTACCTCTAGCTTTACGACGTTTACAGGATTACAACAAAAAAGGACTCCAGGAAGAGTGAACTAAGCTTGTTATCATATAAATGCACGGTTCATGTTGTTTTAGTTAAAGTATTTAATGACATTGCTCCCTCTCAATCATTAAAGACTTGGGGGGAGATAGAGAATAGTTTATTAACATTATTATAGCGAGACACTTCATTGGAATAACATAAAGTACATTGCTGTACTTCTCCATCATTCATGGAGGTTTATGAACATTTATAGAGCAAATACATGTTATGTTTGTTAACTGAAAGAAATAGGTGCATTCTTATTTACATAACACTGGACCTATTGCCGATTACAGTTAACCTTCGTTCATCTGTACCGGTGCTATGCATCTGTTTTTTGTGACGTGAACGGTTACCAGGTGTTGAAAACGATCTTCCACAGACCTCGCAAGGATAAGACATGTTTACTGGTTCACAATCCAATGTAAAATGAATTCGAGGTTTGTGTACCGTTACATAAATAGTATTATATGGTTAAACCAACATAAATAATCCTATGATATCCTAAGATGCTGTATGATATCCTAAGATGCTGTATGATATCCTAAGATACTGATATCCTAAGATACTGTATGATATCCTAAGATACTGTATGATATCCTAAAATGTTGTATGATATCCTAAGATACTGATATCCTAAGATACTGTATGATATCCTAAGATACTGTATGATATCCTAAGATACTTTATGATATCCTAAGATACTGTAGATATCCTAATATACTGTATGATATCCTAAGATACTGATATCCCAAGATACTGATATCCTAAGATATTGATATCCTAAGATATTGATATCCTAAGATACTGATATCCTAAGATAATGATATCCTAAGATATTGATATCCTAAGATACTGATATCCTAAGATACTGATATCCTAAGATACTGTATGACATCCTAAAATGTTGTATGATATTCTAAGATACTGATATCCTAAGATACTGTATGATATCCTAAGATACTGTATGATATCCTAAGATACTGTATGATATCCTAAGATATTGTATGATATCCTAAGATATTGTATGATATCCTAAGATATTGATATCCTAAGGTATTGATATCCTAAGATATTGATATCCTAAGATATTGATATCCTAAGATACTGATATCCTAAGATATTGATATCCTAAGATATTGATATTCTAAGATATTGATATCCTAAGATACTGATATCCTAAGATATTGATATCCTAAGATACTGATATCCTAAGATACTGATATCCTAAGATATTGATATCCTAAGATATTGATATCCTAAGATATTGATGTCCTAAGATATTGATATCCTAAGATATTGATATCCTAAGATATTGATATCATAAGATACTGATATCCTAAGATACTGATATCCTAAGATACTGATATCCTAAGATATTGATATCCTAAAATACTGATATCCTAAGATACTGATATCCTAAGATACTGATATCCTAAGATATTGATATCCTAAGATTTTGATATCCTAAGATACTGATATCCTAAGATACCGATATCCTAAGATACCGATATCCTTAAATATTGAAATCCTAAGAGACTGATATCCTAAGATACTGATATCCTGAGATATTGATATCCTAAGATATTGATATCCTAAGATACTGATATCCTAAGATATTGATATCCTAAGATACTGATATTTTAAGATATTGATATCCTAAAATATTGATATCCTAAGATACCGATATCCTAAGATACTGATATCCTAAGATATTGATATCCTAAGATACTGATATCCTAAAATATTAATATCCTAAGATACTGATATCCTGAGATATTGATATCCTAAGATACTATTTTCGTTAATATATAAATACGTTATTTCCAACTAAATCTTCATTCCGTCGCTGACCGCCGAGCAGAGATGACTAGCAGTTATATCAAACACAGACCGTTTGTGGAGCTCTTGTGTATTTCTCATCCAATTCAACAGCAAGCTTTGTTGAATTCTGCATCTCATGAACAGATTCGCTTTCTATGTAATTGCTTGGAAATTAAACTTTACATATCCTAAAGGAACATTGAACAAACTTGGACCATTTAGAGATGACCTCGCTGACTTGGCGTACAGCAGTAGGAGTTTTAGAAAGAAAAGGAAAATTCTTGTTCAGCGCGGGAGTGGTTTTCTAGGATTGGTACTTGCGCCACTTTTAGAGGGGCTTGCAGAATTAGTATAAAACAATCATCATTAATTCACATCGTCATTCCAACCATGAACAGCAAGGAAAGATCATCTCCGAGACATTGGCGTGTTGAAGATATACTTGGACACTTAAACGATAATGTTGATAAAAACAATGCGGAAGAACTTCTTCACTGCATTCTGACATCCACGGATATTCTCACATGGAATCTTCAAGGGGAAATTGTATACAAAGGACAGAATATACGTGGAACAAATATTGTAGCTAGATCTTTTGCAATATACTGTTTTACCATATAATACTGAAATTCCGGAACCGCATGGACTGAATATATTTCTCAAAGGTCTTGCAAAATTGGAAATTGATAAAAGCCTAATCGTAAATGGGCGTGTGCTTACAATGCTAGCCCAGTGGTCCCACCAGGATAGACAGTCTGACAAATCCGAGGATGAGTCTGAAGACATGGACACAGTTTGTAACGGTTGTAACAAAGATCTAGACATCTCCCATTTGGCCACATGTCCTATATGCACATGGACAGACTTTTATCCAAATTGTAAGAGGTGTCACTGTACGATCTGTGATTTTCGACTGTCCGAAGGAAATTTCACGCATGTAATCGCCTGTTGCCAACATTGTCATTGTGACGAAATTATGGATGTTAGTACGGATAAAAGACTTTTTTACCATATATGTGACCAGTTTACTGTGTGAATTTGAACTGAGCACATCAACATGGCTGCCTCGTACCCAGGCGCTTACATGAAGTATTCAGGTAGGCATCCGACGCGCGAAGGGGCTGTTGGGAAGGGTGCGTGCTGGGTGCACTCTTCCCATCAGCCCCTTCGCCATCTCTCCCCACTACAATACTTCATGTAAACACGTCATATGGGCATCACTGCTTTTTTACAAAGAGACGCCTGGGTACGAGGCAGTCAACATGGTGAGAGGTACGCTTGTTGTAGACACAAAACTATTGAAAGACCATTTCTTGAGACAGCAGCGTGGTGGGAATATCGCTGGGTTTTATGGTGCACGTATGCAAAGGGGATATGGGATCGGAAGCATTTTCAAGAGCCTTGCAAGATATGCTATCCCTCTATTCAAACAAGGAGCTAAAGTTGTTGGTAAAAGAGCATTACAAGCAGCCACAGAAGTTGGTCAAGATGTACTTCAAGGAAAAAATGTAAGAGAATCTGTAAAGGCTCACAGAGGGAAAGTTGTTAAAGACTTTGTTGAGCAAGGAGCAAGGACTTTTCTGCGTCAAACAGGACATGGAAGCAAAAGAAGGCGAAGTCAACGCAGCAATCTATCATCAGTCAAGAAACAAAAACTGGAAGAAGATCCAAGACGTCTCAAATGGATTAGGAAAGATGAAAGCGACTGTGATGATGAAAGCAGCCACGACGATGAATCTGAAAGCGAAACATCTCAAACAAGTGACGGTTAGAAACATAAAAATAACAAAAACACCTAAACGTTATGCTCTGAGAAGTAGACCGTACTAAATTTTGTAAAACGTTTTGAAGAAATAAATGCAATTTTAAAACTGAAATCTTGTGTAAATTTTTGCCCGCAAAGCCCGATCTTTCCTATCCGCGCAACCCGCCCGCCTGAGTACAACTATGTCGTACATTAATATATGCATGCACCCAAGCGCCGCTAATGACCGACAATACATAACAACGTATATAGCAACTGCACATTTGAGTTAATTTTTTATGACAAAATATATTACAACTGTTCTAAAAGTTTTTTCCCACAGAATCAAAATGTACCATTTTTCGTAGTCGAAGAGGTAGTAACTTTACCGTGTAGACATGAACCAAGCGTTGTCAACTAAAGACTATGCTTCGAACGGACCGGCTTCGAGCCAAACTCCGAGCTATTTAGATTATATGCTTCGCTGTAAGCTTTCAAAGTTTCCGGTTATTTTGAATTAGGCTCCGAAATACATATACATTTTTCCGCGAAAAAGAACGCCTGTTTTTAAATCTTGCGAGCTAGGCTTGAACCAACGACCTAAGGAACTACAGTCCTCCGCTCTACCAACTGAGCTATCGCAAGAGCAGGTTTTAATCACCCGAAAAAAAACCAATCTAGACCAGGCCTGCCCGCGTTAATTGGTCGTGCTACCTGTCACGTTTGGCCCAGGCCTGCCCACGTTAATTGGTCGCGCTACCTGTCACAGTTGGCCCAGGCTTGCCCGCGTTAATTGGTCGCGCTACCTGGCCCAGGGTTAGGGTTAGGGCCAGCAAAGTTGCGTGACATATTTTGCATACTAATTACTTCCGACACCTAAATTTGCATACTAATTACTTCCGTCCCCAGGGTGGGGGGCTTCACTACTTATTGATATTGCATAATTTGCATCAAAAATTAAATCTGAGAAAAATGGAACAACCTATAGCGCAGTATAGCGCTAGCTACATAAAGTTTGCAACCACAGAAAAAGAAAATCAGATTAACTACAGCAAAACACACAATTTCAGTGATGGTTAAAATACCCGTGCAGGATCTCACAATTCTGCACAGAAAGTTTAAATGCCTTCGCGCGGGCTTTTTAGAATGTTGGACTATATATACAGAAAACATTTTAACGTGTGATTAAACGAAAGACAAGTTAACAAAAACGTTATAAAGTTATAATAAAGTTAACCGTTAGAATAACGTTTATATAGTACTTCGAACACTCATTAATAATTCATGACGAAAAGACAAAGGAAATCACTGCTGTCGTTGGTTTTATATCAGTGGCGTAACTACTGTGGGCTCGGACCGGGAGAACCTGGGGTCCCCAACCCCAATGGGGCCCCCAGGCTCAGGCTATAGCCTATAGAGCAACAATGCCGTTTTCTGAATTCTGTAAAATCTCTCCCTAAAGTCTGGGAAATGGCATTTCAGAGAGTCTAGATTCAAATATTTTCCGGGTGAACATGCCCTGGACCCACTAAAAAACTCGTGGATATACGGAGCTCGACTTTTGCCTTTGGCACTTCTACTAGGGGGGCCTTCGAAAAGTTTGAACCGGGGGGCCTCTGGTATAACGTTAACGCCACTGTTTTATATGTGATAAAAATGAACATCATTTACAAACTTTAACTTTGATTTTCTCGGCTTAGACAACGTTTATTTTTATTATAAAATTTCTTCGCTAATGAACTCATCAGATGTGTCGTTTTTAGGCCATTTAAAACACGAGTATCACGAAATAGTAAACACGATATTTGATAAAGCAGTCCTACTCGTGTTAGTACTTAAACGTTTCAATAAAGTTAATTATTGTTTCACTGTAGTTATTTTATTAAAAAATTGCCAAATGATTTCCACGCAGGATAGTGTCCCCTATGCACTTGGAATGCCGCTCGACTTTCGGAAAGCGTAAAACACACTCGCCTGCGGCTCGTGCCTTTTCCGCTTTCCAAAAGTCTCGCAACATCCCGCGTGCAAAGATACCACTATCCTGCATTTGGAGATAAAGCTTTCCATATGTCACGTGGTTGCAGCGTGGATATTGCTAGCCGTACCACGTCGTGTCCTGTTACTGCCACGATGACTTTGTTTTGTCTTAAGTATTCGTTTTAATCTCATCTCTAAACGATCTTCTGTCAATTGAAGATGTTGTTGATGTAGTAGTTTGTCTTCGATGAAAGGAACAGGAAGTGAGACAATAAATACAGCCAAGGTCAGGAAGACTGCGGAAATAAGTTTGCCACCAATACTTGAAGGAACCATGTCTCCATAGCTGAAAAGAAATTAAGAGGCGTTATGTAGGAATTAGTAGCTAATTCTTGAAGTAAAGTGGAGCAAAGCAGTAGTTGATCCAAAGGGAAAACCGCCTCCCAGAAATGATCTAGAAACTTTTAATTGTGTAACAATAGACTATTTTTTAAGCAAAATGGCATTAAATTTAATGCCAAAGATTTGAAGTCTGAAATAAAAGAGCGAAAATATGTTGACAACCTCAACATTTCGTTACTACAGGGAAGTGAAAATAACGGCGATGTCAATAATGAATCGAAGGGAAACTGGAAGAGAATACAGAGAACACAAGCAGGAATGATAAGATGGGGGTAAAGATTGCGCGCGAAATGGTAGAAAAGGAGGTGCGGACTGAGTGGGTGGGCAAAATAGAAGGTAAAATGTAGAAACGAATGAACGAAAATAGGAAGTTGATGAAGAATTACGGAAGAACTTGGAAAGACAATATGAAATTCATGCCGAGAAAAGGGAGTGAAATGTTAGTAAGTGCATAAAAAATCCAGAGATAAACAGTAAAGTAGATGCAAGTATATCATGAGAAATGTAAGAATATTGTATGGAACGAAATGATGGAATCCATAACAGGAGAAATGTAGACGAGGGAGTGCGGGAATGTGTTCGGGAAGAAATCTATAAAAAAAACTGAGGAAATTAATGTAAACGAGAAAGTGGAACAAAGGCCAGAGAAATATGAAGAAAATGGTGGCGAAAATCATAGAAACGAAAGAAATGTCGAGTTGTCGATAAATGTATAATCAAGGAGAAGATATATCGGTGAATGGGAAAAATGGTGAAGTTCAGAAAAAGCGGTGATCATGTAATATAAGAGACCTGGCAATAAGAAACAAACAATGCATGAAGGTCAACTGAATGTTAAATAATAACAGAGAAGATTCCTAATACAAGCATGCACATGCAGACATACTTTTTGTCCATGAAAGTTTATCTACATGTATGTATGTATATAAACGGTTGCCGGTGGAGATATGTTTCCCAATGTGGTCAGATAGCCTATTGATTATTGGAAATCTAAGACAATGAAGCAAAATTTCCAATACTGCCCAACACTTACCCTAATGTCGTGCCTGTGACGATAGCGTACCAAATAGCCAGCGGTATATGAGTAAAAGTTGTATTTGGAACATTTTTCTCCAAGTAATAAACACATGCTGCAAACATGATTGTTGCCATTGCAAATATAAAACAGAGTACGCCAAGCTCTGGAGCTGCATTGCGGAACGTTATTAGCAACGTCTTTAACCGTTTAGAATTTTTGAGAAATTTAAATACTCGAAACACACGGAACACTCGTAAAATTGAGAAAGATTTCAATTCAGGTGCATAAACTTCTAACAAATCAAAATAGAATGGTAGAATTGCGAGGATATCAATAAAGCTTTCAAGACTCTTTACGAAAGGTTTACGATATGGCACAGCGTATAGTTTAACAGCGTACTCTACGGTGAATATAAACGCACAACCTCCGTCTGTGTAGAGAAATAAATTATGAAACTCTTCGCCACAGGTTTCACCACCTGGACATCGAATTGTTTGTCCTATTGTCACCACCAAGCTTAACGTAACAGCAACGACGATGATGTTATACACAGTTCTACTTGCGCGTGTTCGCTGTGGATTTTCAAAGGCATCCCACAGAGTTTCACGTATGGTATCAAAATGAGTTCGATTAACACGTTGTCTCAGATTTGTCATTGTAGTAGCAATTACAGTCGCAGCCTCGTAAGAATCATTAACTTCGTTCCAGCAGCAGGAGTCGAAACCATCAAATGGAATACCAAAAAATGTAAACTCTTCTTCAAACGTCTTACTGCAGTCGTAATAAGAGAAATGCAGTCTACCTGTTCTATAGTAGTTCAAAATATGCCGGAAAATACTTGGGTCTCGATCGAATACGTACTCGCCTGATATTTCATCCAGGAAATATTCTCGTTCTTTACTCCCTAAAAGAGTATCCGGATGTCGAGAAAGTGTCGCCTCCCATGTCTCGTAGCGTCGTCCAGAAACATTAATCACGACTCGCTTATTAGGCAAAGATGCGGACGGGACCGGTGACAGTTTTCTTCGTGCGAGTGGAGCCATGCCTAAGGCTGAAGCTTGCATGACACGGGGCATCCACTCAGTGCCCGACTTGCTAGCCATCGCATAAGCCGTTTCCCCACTTCAGAACTGCATCTTAAAATTTTTATTTACATATTTGAAGTGTATGGAAACTCTTGTAAACTATTGTAAACTTCAGACACTATAGCACAGCAACGGGTAACCACAATGGAGTTCATTAAAGATTAATTAACTGTTATGATTGAACTAATTAACTCGGAGCCATCGAGGTGTTCGACAATTTATCTGAATCAAAGTCAGTAAGCTTGAAAATTATTTTATTATTCTTATATGGTTCATATATTAACTAATCGTGAACGTCTTTTTCAGAAGTTAGTAAGCCACTAAAGGAATGTTTTATGGATAAGGAAATATATAATTATAAATAAAACGCTACCTGTCAAAGCAGGGTTGTTTTGAAAAATCTTGTGTGTTGCGATTTGAATAGATTTTTGCGATAAAACACTGCATGGTGCTGCTACTTTAAGTGTTCCAACTACTAATTTAAGTGTTTCTGTTAATATTAGTTTAAAATATATTAATTTTGGATGACTAAATGTCTAAATGTATATGTTTCTGGGCAGTTATAAACCGCAAACGCGTATACTCATGCAATAAATCGATAACAAAATATGCAAAACATGTTATACTGCACATATTTAAGACCTGCATATCGTCCCATATTTAAGACTTGCATGCATATCACCTATTGTGAATGTTTATTAGTGAATAGAGAATTTCTACCTCACATTACACGCTTTAGCCTTTAAACCTGTTTTCCACTTCAACCGTATCGTAACGTACCGTAGCATTTTCTTTTGTGTCGAAGTCATTAGTTCCACACTACCGCTCAGGAAACAAAGAAATACGCTACGTTTCGGTATGATACAATTGAAGTGGAAAACTGGCTTAAAATGCACTACGAATTTGGGACGAACAACTAGCCAATAAGGTGAGCAAAATAAAATGTGGAGAGTACCATCTGCCAGCGAGAGAGGCCTGGCAAAGGGGGAGGCCATGCTACTTATGTCTGCTTGCGAGTGCTTTGTCCAGAAGCAAGTTTTGAAAAAAATTATTACACGTATTTTGACCAGAATAATGGTATACAAGGCGGCTAGCCTGCGGAGCAAGCTGTATTTGCGAGCTGAAAGGGCGGGGTAGCTTAAAATACAGCCTGCCCAAAAACCTGTTGTATATGTCTATACCGACCACTGTCACTGAGACTGTTTGTTTGAGAGAACCAATCATATACTGAAGTAATATTATAAATAGCACTTTAATTTTAATTACGGTTCTTTACAGTAAATAATTCGACTATAATTTTTGTTGTTTACTTGTTCGTGAAAATGCAATTAAAATGTCGAACCAAATCACTACCGTGACATTTTTAAAGCGTCTAAACAAAAGGTATTTCTTGGGACTTTAGCAGAAATGTGTTTTTCTATGCCTATGGGTTAATTCATTTTCCCAGACAACTCACAACAACAGCCACGACACTGTGGCAAATCGCACCAGCAGTACTTTTCATTTTATCCAAAAACTTTGTTCAAATGCTCTCTCTGCTATGCAGTGAATAAACTGCGGCGGTGATTTAATCAGTCACTGAAAAGCCCTGATAGGGAGTGTGCTGTGCAATATCTGTATCTATATATACAACTACATCTGCAAATGTTTCGTCTGTTAGTTCGACTGCTGTACAATTGAGCGATCTAATTGCAGCGATTTGATCTTCAGGGGTCACTCTTCGATGGCGAAACTACGACGAGTCGATGACAGAACAAGCGCATGCAAGGCTGTAGTCACTGCGTACACAATAAAGTATCATAGTTTTACTGAAACCATGCAGTCGTCATTACATTACTACTATATTGAACAAATGTTCAATTGCCAATTGTTGTTCCTTCTTTAGAACAATGATATTGCTGCCAGTTCTTAAATAATTTATAGCGCTTTTCTCAATTCTCCCGAAGTTCGAAGCCATTTCTTGTTTAATACATTATCACAGCCGTTAATAATACATTCATATGTAAACAGATCCTTTGCTGTCAATCAAGCAAAATAATTTACCAATCATAATTATCCGTCCACCAGTGGACGGACAATTCGAAAAGTACAAGTTTTTGGGCAGGCGGTATTTCAAGCTTCCCTCCCTTCGCGTACCCGCTAATAGCGAGCTTAAGATCTACAACGCGAACTTACGACGCGGACGTCGCATTAAACAAGTTTTATTTTAAAACGATGGCAAATACCATTAAAATATTTTTATCACAGTAAATAAAATGAAATTATACTGGAAAAAATGTACAACATAACAGAGGCTAGCAATATATTAAGAAGATATTTTTTATCATACGTTTTTACGACTTCTATGACGAATCTTTGCAAATATCACGTCGTCTCGGATGGTAGTTTTGGCGGGAAAATGTGCATTCGTAACAATAGTCTATAAAGCCTGGTTTCTATCATTTCGTATGGCTGTTAACGTGTCATAACAGTGTCACAAATCTCGCGGAAATAAACTGTGACAACTCTGACTAGGCTTACACTCGAAAACTAGGCTTAGCTAAGCACGTCCGCGTCGTAAGTTCGCGTTGTAGATCTTAAGCTCGCTAATATCGCCTTCTACGCAGACTACATGGCGGCCGGTCACAGGTTTTTGCTGGAGTCGGGCTCCTGTGTATATGCTACTCTGTGAACAAAATACCGGATACTAAAAGGAAAATGGCACTGATACCAATATACCAAAAACCTCTGGCAGGTCCTGGAGAGTTAACGATAGAAATAAACTATTCAGAGGTTCTCCCAGCATATTCATATCTCTTCGCCGTTGAACTTCCTGTCTTGGTTAGCCGACACCTTGAGTTGTAACGGCTGAAGCGTCAGTACGTCGGAGATTATAGGTGTTTAGAATAAGGGTATATTCACATTCGAGAAACATGTACAAGTTCACCGCAAGAATACACTTTTATTTTCTTATGTAGGTACTATTTTATATATTTGTTATTAAGAAAATTTATGAGGTGGTATGGTACATCTTCTCTGTTGGAATCCGTGATACTCGGACATTTAGCACAATATTGGGGGAGGTATGAGGCTTGCAAAAGTCTTCTTGAACGATGGCTTAGAAAATTCCTTTCCCTTGCCTTGTCGATCTTCTTTCTTTTATTTTCTTATTTCCTCCATTGCTATACTTCATTTGGTTCCTTATTCTTCTCAATTTTCCCATGTTAGGAGCCAATTTAGGAAGCAATTTCCATTGCTTTTCCCCTTCACCTTCTTTAATGTTTTATTATATCTCATTGCTCTCCTTTATCTTCGTCCAGCATCTTCTTGTCTAAAATTTTCCTCCTCTTGAACGGCGACTTAGGATTATAAAGTCTTTTCCCTTTTCTCTAAAAGCATTTTTTCCCAATAATAATACTCATAGTCCTTTCAAGATTGAAGTAAGGCAAAAAAGAAATATCTTGCAGGTTCCTATTTCTTTTTGCAAAAACCCGGTAGGGTAGATCGGGTTTTTTTACTAAACTTTTTGTGTAAATGCTAATGCATGAGAATGATATTCTAAGTCAATTACGGCAGCACAGATGGCACAAAAATTCGTTAAATGTTATATAAACATTGCAATAAACAGGTTATACTTCATACAGCTAGTACAAAGCTAACGAAACGGACTGGGTACGAAAAATTGCTCCAAGTTCTTTGCAAACTTCAGATAAAAAGATTAGGGTCGGTGATTCAGTGACCAAAAGCTAGGTAGGGTCAGGAAACAGGAAACCCAGGGAGCTTTTTCCTAATTATTTCTTTCCTTTATCTTTGTCTTTTTTCTTATCTTTATTTTTCTTCTTTTTAAAGGGTGACTTAGGAAGTTTTCCCTTTCCTTTTTCCTTCTCTTTCTTCCCTTTATCGCCCTCCTCTTCCTCATTTTCATCATCGCTAAATTACAATAAAGAGGTTGATATTTTGATAACAATAAATTTTATGTTGATATTATATTATTCGAATTATGTTGAAATTTCAAGCACTTTCACTCATTTTTAACCCGTTCTGAGTTAGTTTTTTAGTGTTACACCAAATAAGGATTTGGGAACTACTTACTCAAAGTTCGCTGCAAGGTTATCAAGGTCGATAAAACCATCATCGTCGTCGTCTGACAGGTCATCAGCCAATGTATCTTGTATGCCTGAAATATAATACAGCTACAAATAGATTCTCCAAGTGAAGACCCCCCACGAGACTCAGACAAACAAACTAACATTTTGTATAGAATTGTACTAGCAGCGAACATAAATTGGTCTAAATTGACGTTTTTATTTATTTTATCTGTGCTAAAACGAATTCAAATTTATCCCAAATTACAAACATGGTTAATGCTAAGCACTGTTGCTGGGGAACATGTCCAAGTGATTCGAGATACTAAGAAAACTGCCGAAACAGGGAATTGAAAAGTCGGACGGGACGGGAATGTCTGCAGTAGCAATGTGTTGATTGTTATTGACTGCGGACTGTGCTGGTTTTTCTCCAAGAACTTTCGCAGCTAACCATTTTCCCCCGTCAATACATCCAGCGAACGATGCTTTCCCGAACTATTAAAAGCAATCGCTAACTCGCTGAAGAAGAACTTGGCGTTTTATACCGCTTTGCTATAAGCCGGCCTCTACATTTTAACCACTGCTTCTTGAGTTTAATCGACAGTATAAGAAGATGGTCATGCTCAAAATATGAGTCTGGGACGCCATCGTTTTCAGTGAGAGCGTCTGTTGTTTAATTTATGACTGGAGAAGCAATAGTTTACCAGACAGTGTTAGGCTATTAATTAACACAGTGTTAAGCAAAATACTGTTTTACTGGTCAACGGAAGATTTTATATTTGAGATTTTATATAGTTTGTAGTTTATCTTTGACATTTTTTAAAAAAGTTTGAATTTGAAAGTATTAGTTTTAATTACATTCCTAATAAATCCGTATTTTATAAGTTGAATATGTAGTCAATAGATTATAGTAAACATTAAACAATCCTAGCTTCTTTGGCTTTGGACTTTGCTATTAATAAAAGAGATGTCTAAAGTAATAAAATAATGCACACTAAAGCGAGTATTAAAATATAAGTTAGTATAAACATGAAATCAACAATATTAAATAGGGAACTTTAGAACTGATTCGCTAGGGCTACGAATTAAATCTGGTACGACTACGAGATTTTTTCGGTTAAATATCTGCTACTACAGACTTTCTATCGCCCTTTCTTTTGCATACCCTTTCTTTATGGCCTCTTTATAGCAACAGTTACGCCAAACCATGTACTATTATAATACAGTAGACACCGCCTATGATAGAAACGACATGACAGTCGATACTAAAGTGACGAAAAAGTGTATATTTCTACTTCCAAAGCAAAAATATTTTGCACTGGCACTTCAGGTAAAGCGAAACGTACAAGGTGTGTATGATTTCGCACAAATAAACCGTAAACAAACATCAAACTATCAAACTAACTCACAGGAAGCTCTTAATCATAATACTATTTATATTAAATGTTGCCAATGTTTGTCTGAGTCTTCGCGGGGGGTCGACATTTCGTGACGTCAATTGCGGACAACGCTATTGTCAGAGGTGACGAAATTTCAAAGTGATGTCACACCCACAAAGTTCACGAACGTCAACACATTGCTAGAGAGCAAACTCTGCAAACTTGCTAAACTATAGAAAACCTTTAAAGAAGGCCTTTGATACCATCGAACATGAGATTCCACCAGGTAAATTGAACCGTTATGGATTTAGCAACCAAACTGTAGAACTATTCCGAAACTACCTCTCTGGGCGCACACAAATCACTGTTATCAACAATATATCGTCGGGTAGCTGTAAGATAACATGTGGCGTTCCACAAGGATCTATCCTGGGTCCACTACTGTTCTTATTATATATCAATGACATTCTTAAATGTCAGTTGGTATCAAATGGGCGTTTATTCGCCGATGATACCAATTTACCATATGCTGATGATGACCTCAATAAGATTATTTCTGTTTTAAACGATGACTTACAAATTCTACAAAACTGGCTCAACATGAATAAACTTAGTCTTAATGTAATGTAATGTAATGTAATGTAATGTAATGTAATGAAAACAAAATATATGTTTGTTGCTTCTCGACAAAGGTTAAGTAATATTCCTGAACAACTTGATATTTTTATCTCAGGAAATAAAATCAAAAGAGTCAAATCATGTAAATGTTTAGGATTGGACGAGGGTTTAACGTGGGAGTCTCATATCTCTGCGAGTATTTCTAAAGTCTCCAAGGGGATCAGAGTTTTGAGGAGACCAAAACCGTTGCTCCCACTTTCAGCTCTTGTGCTAATCTATAATTCTTTAATTCAGCCACATTTTGACTATTGTAGTGTTATTTGGGATAATCTGGCTAAAGCCCAGGTCACACTACACAACGATAACGATAACTTGTTTACGCGCGATGATTGGTCAAAAATTTATCGTTATCGTCCGGCTGAAAAAAAAATCGCTCAGGTGAGCGATTTTAAAATCGTTATCGTTATCGTCTAACAATTTTATCATTTTCGTTGTTGTGTGGACACTAACGCAATTTTTTTGACAATTATCGCATGTTTACAATTTATCGTTATCGTTGTGTGACCGGGCCTTAAGGGTCTAGGACAAAAGCTTCAACGAATGCAAAGGCTGCACGAATCATTACTGGTTCTGATTCTTACACTCGCTCATCTGAAATTTTAAGATCATTAAACTGGACTAATCTGGAAGATAGGCGTGCCCTACAGTTTAAGAAATTAATGTATATAAGACGGCCAATAATATGGTTCCTAGTTATTTAACCAATAAATTCATCCCCATGCACGTCTCAATGCACGAGCACAACTTACGTGGGGCAAATTATAAACTTTTTTGTTCCTAGGCCCCTGTCAGAATTTATGAAGAAACGTTTTAGCTATCAAGGTGCAATTTTGTGGAACATGCCCGTCCAAATATCCAGGGGAGGGGCGGCGGTTGCTCTCATGCTTGATTTGCAATTTGTTGTTTCAAATCTGCAATGAACGCTTTTTGCCGCATTCTTTGCTTACCTCGTTTAGGATCAGAAACGCGTGTGAATCCTGACAATTTGCTGAACTTTGTGCGCGTGGCGGACAGTTTGAATGATATGATCCCTGCTCGGCGGGACATGATATTTCTATCCCACACAGCTGGAAATCTCTCCTAGGTGGGATGGCGTGTTTGTATCGACAAAATACAATGCCGGGTAAAAGTCAGTCTGGATGTCAGGTTTGTTTTCTCGCCAGAAAAGAGATATACGTATGTTTAGATTAACTGAGGAACCCCACCTAGACGGAATCATATAAACACTCAATATATATTGAGAGTGGGATTTCGGCAACTGTCCCGTTCCGCCTCGCTGGGATCATATGCACAAGCCTTAAAGTACTCGAACTAATAATACTCTATCAAAATACTACAACATTCCACCTAACAAATGCCATATGATATTATTAGGCAAGTGTCTTTCATGTACATGTAAATATAGAGAATGTGCATAAATGCCAAGAATAGTCTACAGTGTTGATCATTATAACAATAAGCATACAGTTAAAATATAGGGATCAGGGCATGCAACCGCTAAAAAAGGAACGCTTGTTCGAAAACGTAGGACAAACGTTTCGTTGTTGTTAATATATATATTTGATCTATTTCCTTTGAAATATGTAAAGACAGCTTTGTTCCACTGATAATAGACTTTTCCTACACATGAGGAGAAACACCCAGATATAGAATGAAATTAAACTTGTGGAAACGAAGTAATATTGGCCACTGCATGAAGGCCTGGCCACACTACAATGATACGATGACAATTTTAAATCGCTCACCCGAGTCGGACGATAATAAATTTTTTGACCAATCAGCGCATGTTTATCGTATCGTTATGTAGTGCGCACAACCTGGGCTTAAATATTGTGAAATTATCGACAAAATTATTTTATAGTAGTATAAATTTCCTGAATAATATAGTGTAAAAATAAGAACATACGTAGTTTTGCTCGGAGGATGCCCAGCAATTCCTCATAATAGAGTAGACTTTGTTCTTCGTCGTCTTTCACTAAATACATAGCACCAAGACTAACACATGATTTGCCTTGACCATGTAAATCTTCTAAGTCAGTTGCTATATCATGCCGTTCTTTATGCAGTTCTATGGCTTTGTCTGTATCCATTAGCATTTCGTAAATATTAGCCATATTATTGCATATCCGTGCCTGTGCTTTCCTATCTCCTCGCTCCTTGCTGATCTCATACGCTTTTTCGTAGTAGTATAATGCCATTGGCAGGTCTCCCATTACTTTGTATACACAACCAATGTTGCAATTAGCCCGTCGCTTTCCTTTGGAGTTTTCAGTGCCTTCAGAGAGTTCTAAATGTTGCTGATGATAGTCTAAAGCTTTCTCGTATTTACCAAGCTTGTGATAGGAGAGACCGATGTAACTTAAGGCTTCTCCTTCTTGTTCCTTGTTTTTCTCTTCTAAACTAATACCATGGCGTTTTATTATGTCTTTCATTGTCATTTTAATTTCATCTTCCGCTTCTTCGACGAATCGAAACTGATTAGGATCGTTCTTTTCCATTCGATGAAATTTAATGTTCAAAGAAAACTGTTAACGTACATGAATCTAGCCGAGCATAGATGGAATTGTGATAATAAAACAACATTGCAAGCTACTTGAAACTTGTTACTGCATAAATTATTAATAAACAACAAAGACCTGCGCATATTTTGTTCTGCTAAGATAGTAAACGACTTACTTCCTGAAGAAGTAGAAATACTTAAGTGAATGGAATGTCAGGTGATCATTGCAACAGCATATAATAACGTACACTAGCACTGAATTATGCAGTTGATACTACACGTATATAGCAAGAATAAGCCATTATATTGACACGTGAACAAAAACTCCAAAAATCAAACAACAGGTATGAATGTTGTAAATCCAAAATATGTTCATACATCTATTCCTGATCCCTTACTAACAGTTTAGTTACAAAAGTCTTGTAAGACAAAATTAGATGTTATTCACAGACAAGGCACGAATTGTAGATCATCAATAATTGATGAATGACAGGTTATTCAATGTATAGTACGCTGTGCATAAATCAGAACTCAACGGTTCCTTTTAAAACCAAGCAGTATAATGTAAATACCCATCAATTAATATTCTTCTATTAACAGTGGGCATACTGTACTGCTCGACATCTACTCACCTCATTAAACTCCACGTACATTCCAGAAATGCACTGCATACAAAAAGTAACAAATTATAGCTCTGCACATAGTAGTATAGGAATTATAGCAGTATACACTACTAAAATATAGTGGAATTTAATATTCAGCAGTGAAGAATAAACCTGCTGTTGCCCATTTTCAATCAATATAAATTATACTCGAATAATTTTCAGCATTTCTATGCAATTTCTTGTACAAATTCTATATAATTTATCACTGTATACAAATCTAATTGATAGTTAATTGTGCAAACCCGATTAGCGTTTTCTCGTCCTTAGTCTGGCCACTTGGAACTGGAGTTTTCTGAAATGAAAAATATTGATACGATTAAAATCTAAATACTTTAAGCCTGGCGCACACGAAGCGATTTTAGTCGGCCTATGCATGACAAGACAAAATTTTTGATATTGTCTGATATTGATATATCAGTTTTGATATTGTCTGATTAAAATCGGCTGACAAAAATCGCTTAGAAATGAGACCCCACACGCAAGGATTTCATTATATCATACAAATATAGTAAAGCCTGCATTCGTGTTGTGTGTTTTTCATATGTACGTACACACACCGAAAAGTTAAAATCCGTTTAAGCGCGATTTCCTGTTCAATTTGAAGCGCGGAGTGAAACAATTAAAAACATATTACTACAGATTAATTTTACATGACAATGTCTATAAAAGGACTAAAACTGTCTGTACCATTGTTGGTAGTACCAAAGTGAAAATGCTGTGCTGAGTGCATGGTTATATTACTACCTTCAAAAATAAGCAGAAACTTGACGTTTCGAGCGAAGGCCCTTCGTCAAGAGTTAGTACTAGAGTTAGGCTACTAACTCTTGACGAAGGACCTTCGCTCGAAACGTCCAGTTTCTGCTTATTTTTTAAGGTAGTAATATAACCACTCAGCACAGCATATAAAAGGACGTATCCATACCAATTGAAACACCATGAATGCTGGATGACGATATGCGGCCGGGCTTTGAAGAGCCTTTTCCAAATTTGCAGCGACTGTACAAGAAATAAAAGTAACTGCATATAACGGCCAATCATTCTCCTCTCTCAGCACAGGAATCCGATTATAAGAAGGAATTCGGTAAAAATGAGCTGCAGTAACCCAAGAGATGGTGTTTTGTTTTGTAATTGTTAGGGAGGTGTCTTGCATGGGACTTATCGTCTCGTTCACATCCTTCCTATTGGGTCATTGAATGCTCTACGTTTAGTGTTATACTTATTATATGTATAATGCTGTGGTGCCAATAAAGGAAAAATAAATACTCTGCTCTACTCTGCTATATACAACCTTACCGAGTATTACATCAACACCGTTAATAAGTCCAGCGCTGACCAATTCCTGCGCAACTCCTTGTGGAGTATCTAAACAAACATTATAGGAAGTCATATAGGTGTGTAGTTGGCTTTGATTAAGTAAACATAACAGACTAGCATATGGTGGTCAGCTTCAGAAGTATTTACATGCACTGATATATGTGATAGACACAACTCTTATTAAATTCCGTTTTCGGGTACATTATCAAATCTGAGCAGGGTAGTCATTCATCAAGTAACAATACACCACCGTTTTAGTTACCGACTACAACACTGAAATTATTTTTTAGCTTCGCGGGAACAGATTCGTCCCGTGGAAAAAACAGGGTTAACTGAGCAGTACGTATAAAAGCACATTTACACGCTACGACTACTCGTTCGATTGTAATTCTGGCGTATGAAAACGACTGCTGACGCAACTATTTCTGTTCATTAGTTTATGCCGAAATTTGAAATGTGACATTTTTACACGCATTTATTCAAGTACATACGCCAGGACAAGAATCATGCAGGACTAGTCCTATCGTGTAGATGGGCCTTAAGGGGTAGCGCGCTAACTGTATTACCAGTCGTACTTCCCAAACCAATACTAAGATAATCTTAATCCAACTGACCTTCGCCATGTTTAAAATCAAATCGAATATCGTTTAGTTCATTCTTCGCATTTCTACAAGAAATGTTAAATTGCAGGGTTACGCTACAGCCTACAGAAATATATATACCGTGAACCTCCGACTATAAGCCCTGGGCTTATTTATATATTCTTTCGTAAGCGATTTTTGAGTGATAGGCTTATACAAGGGGGGAGGGGGGAGGGTACTTATATACGAGGGGGGTAATACATGCATGGACGATCTTTTGTGTTAGTGTAATAGTAATAAACAAGACTTAGTGTTAATAAAAAAAGCATAGTAATAATAGTGATTAATAGTTGTAAACAATAGTGATAAACAAGTGAGCTTATATTCGGGCGGGCTTATATCCGGGGGCTTATATTTGGAATGAGGTGAGCGTTAGTACATGTGGTGAGCTTATACACGGGATGGCTTATATTCGGAGGGCGGGGGAGGGGGCTTATATTCGGAGGTTTAAACTGAAAAGGACTGAAAAGTCACCCTAACATCGAGTGAAAAATGACATGAGGATACACAAAATAATAACTGAGTAAAAAAACATGACTAAAAAGCGTATACAGCAATTGTTAATGACATTTGCTGTTTCTGAGATGACAAATTTTATATGTAATGTACCAAATCCGGATATCCAATCCGTGCAATCTCCCGCTTGGTTTACCAGTCAATGTACAGTACTACCTCTCCTGAAGCCGGAGAGTGTAAGCACCTTATTCTGTGGTGTAAGTACCGCGAAATGAGACTTCCCGTAAATGCAGTTGTGTGTATAATGGTAAATTTACAGTTACAACTTTGAAAAGTCACTTCTCACATTGTCTTATTAAACTGTCTAGAATCTTTGTTGAAGGAAGACAGTCCTCCCAAAATGGCAGATATTGGTCCGCGTGAGAAAGACTATAATTAATGCAGTCCGAGGCGAATGACATCTCAAATTCCCAATGAAAAATTTAAGTTTAAAATTGACAAAATTGTATGGTAATTAAGATCACATAACCAGCTGCCAGTACAGCAAGTTGTGGTTCAACCTCGTACCCAGGGTCTGTCCCCTTGAAGAGAAAAGACCCTGGTAGACGGTGGTCACGTGATCTGCTAAAATCTAGCAGATTTTTAATTAATTATTCTGGATTCCTTCACGACAATGGTTTAATTTATAATTTGCATTTTATATGATAAAAATCATCCAAATGTTAAATATTTATTGACCTCATCTTGGATTGCTAATTAAAAATCTGCTAAATTTTAGCAGATCACGTGATCGCCGTCTACCAGGGTCTTTTCTTTTCAAGGGGAAAGGCACTGGGTAGGAGGTTGGTTGTGATTTTCTTTCTTTAATATTTATTTTAATATTTATAATTATTCATAAATTTGAAATGGTATACGTATAGAAGTGCAACCACAAATATTGAACTGAAATGAAGTGTGGGGGGTGAAAGAATGCCATACCGCGGTTGCACATTCCCAGCCATTTCGTTTTTGTAAATTGCTGCAATGCAGTATTTAAGTTGGGCAATGTAAATAAACTACACTAACCAGACGACTGTACCTTAAACGTAAAGTTAGATTTAGCGCAGGTTGTGATTCACTAGTTTCATCAGTACTCGTACTTGGGGGTGCAGTAACATTCTCCTCACTGGTTGGTTTAGTAGGACTTTGCGGTGGTGATGATGATGTTGAAGGTTCCTTACTTTCGACAGGAGCTGTTGCTGCGAAGATAAACAATCCAAATCAACAAATTTCAGAGGGCATATTTTAAGAAGCAGCTACAGCAGTTTTGGTACAAAGAGAGCAAAGAATGCTCTCTTCGTACCAATTGTTTTACTTTATTCAGTGCACTGTTTCAAGGAGTTATCGGGTTTGTAAGAAAGAAAGTATATAAAGTTTATCAATCATGTACTTGTTCCGGTAAATGTAGAACTATTTGTTAAATAGAAATAAGTGATTTTGTAGATTGTAAGATTACTTCGATATGTTCCAAACCAAAATATGCAAACAAACCACGCCCATACATGTCTGTACATGCGCAAGCAGATTTGACAGCCGCTTTAAATGGGTTTTTTTTGTATAATTTCTGCGCAATATTTAACAGTTATTCGCCGAAGGCGAGGTGATTATCGGGGAATAATTGTTTTAGTATTTTTGCACAAGTTTTTTTGTGTTTTTCTGGTCTGAATTCATTTTAATTTCGCTTATTTCTTTATCACTAACTTCAACAAAACGGCTAGCCGCCATTTTGAAAATTTTGATTTTGTTCCTGTGGTGAATATAACAGATTAATGCGTCAAATTTGACCAATCACCTTGTAGGATTTGTTTTGTTCACTTGTGCAGAAATACTAACAGCTATTAAAACACATTAATTCAAATGTGTGGGATAAAAAAAACTTGGGC